TTAAAATAAGCGATACAATTATGGCGACGATACAGCGGAAACTGACAGCTCCTGCAAGTTCTGTTTTAACGGCTGGCATTTGCTTTAGTGACAAAACACGATCATATTTTCACATTTTCAAATTATGCTTTGGATTGCCCCTCTTCTATGTTTATCCCCTTGATTTATATTAAAGAGGGCCTGCAGTTACCTTATTTTCTGGGTTTCACAACACTTGAACTAACAGAACAGAAGTTTGAACATGCACACAGCTGCACACTATCTAACCAAATTTATTGTCTACTGTGCAATATTGCCAGTTCAGTCACTTGCTGGCCTGGTGAAGCTTGTGTGAGTCCGGCCTCTTGGCCTTTCCGGGTCTAATTTATCCAACAGGATCATTGCTGTAGTTCTCTGAGACATTAGTGGGTCATGAAAGGAAATTTGCAAAACAAATATAATTATTAATAACAGTATTCATTAGCATCCCTGGTCATATCTGCTGACACCTTAACAGCTGACAAATTTATCATGGTCCAAGCTTTCATATATTAAAATTCACCTCTGCAGGTCCACTTTGTGTTCTGTTTAGTTGACCAGAAGAATATCATGCATTACTGATATAAATATTGATACCAATAAGCTATAAAGGCAACAGATGTATGCAAATTACAAACAGTGATTCTTCCCTAAATGCAAAATACTCCCCGTCCCTAATTCCACCAAAAAAAAAAAAAAAGGCGGTACAGTGCATCCTTTCCCCTTGCCCTGATTGACTGTTTGAGCTGGGATTGATGAGAACTGTACTACTGAACTGGAAGGGAACTGCTCAGGGAAGGCTTGATTGGACCTCATTTAGTTGCAAATCATTTTACTTGGAAGAGGCACAAGGTTTGTTCCCTGTTGTCATGAAACTATAAAATCCATCGGTTCCTTGGACTTCTTCCCGTTGCTGTAGGACAGGTTCCTGTCTTGTGAGGCAGAGGGCAGGATTTAAAAAACAACAACATACAGGATAGTCTACATTAGTAATGCTGGAACCTAATTTTAGTTTTACCCCGGAGGCTAAAAAAAATACAAAAGCCAGATTGGGTGACTTAACTGAGGGGTTGCAGATTCTGTACCTTCAGCTCATTTTTCCTGTTTTGCATGGCTGCTGGTGAGGGACCAGCTGCTACAAAATATATTCTTACTATGTGGCAGATAGGTTGCTCATACTCAGGTTGGACTCCAATCAGAGAGGTCCTGTTGAAACATTCGGGAATGAGGAATGGCATATTGTTGGGTCTGTGTGGTATCAGCTTCTCTGAGGGAAAGGCTGGCAGGAGGTTTTGGCATGCCCTTTCTTCAGGAAGACATCATTGGGCCCAATGGCCTTGGACAACTATCATCTGGTTTCCAGCCTTCCCTATTTTTAGGAAAAATGTGAAGATGGTGATTAGGTTTTAACTTGAGAGGGCGCTGGAATAAACAGATTGCAGTAGAACCTCTGGTCAAGAATGCTTCTGAGCCACGACCAAATCTGGTTCTGACCAAAAAATTCACATTTTTGTTTTTTCACGGCCAATTTCCCCTTCCATGCCATTTATTTTTGTAAGTGCCAAATTTCCAAAATTAGGTTCGGGTCATGACCAAATCAGATTGCGAACAAAGTTATGGAACGAATTACGGTTGTGACCATAGGTTCTACTGTATTTAGGCTCATTTCAGTCGGCTTTTAGACTGGGGTTTAATGCAAAGACAGTTTTGGTTATGTTTGTGGATGGTCTGTGGTGAAGCTGGTATTGAAGTGGTGTGGCCGTCTTTTCGCTTCTTGATCTCTCAGCAGTTTTTGATACCGCTGATAACTGGGATGTGACTTTTCATTTCTAAGTGATGCGGTCATAAAGAGGAACATCACATGACCATTTATTTATTCAGCTAATGGTATGTGTTAGCCAGGGATCACCAAGAGGGCTGCCTGCCTCTGTGAAAGTAATTTTTTCGGGTGGGAAAAAGAAAGGAATCTACCTGCAGGATGCTTGAATGCCAGTAGGCATTTAGGAGAGACTCCTTTCTTGTCCCTATGTGGTTTATTCGCTCATGGGAATTGAGGCCCCAGGCTGCTGACCTCAGTGGTGTGCAAGTCCAGTGTCTTATCACGTGAGCCACTTGAGTCACACAACCATGTTGTGTAACAATGGCAACAGTTCCCATTGCCTTTGTTTAAATGAAAATTGTGGGCTGTTAAACAAGGATCTCCTCACAAGTTGTGGCTTACAACAAGCAAAGTCATTGGGGATGCTCTTAGGAAGTTCCGATTGCTGGGCAGCTCACAAGCAGGCCGGCAGGTGGGAAAATGGCTGTGGTGGCCAAGTGAATATATTCAGGAAGGAATTGAAGCTTCATTTTGCTGATTTTCATGTTCCTTTGCCATCTTCTGCTGTTGCTGATGAGGTGCACCAGAGCCTGGCCCTTTGTGAAACAGTTGTTGACCAGGGGAGACCCTCGAGAAGGTTGTATGTGACCTTGGGAAAAGGCCTTATGCAGCCTTTTGAAGGGCCAGCTTGGTCACACAACATCAGCAGCAGGAGGAAGATGGCAAAGGTCACCTGGAGGTGGCAGAATGAGTGGTCATTAAATAAGGACTATCTGCATGCTTCGTATTACATCATATAATCATATAATCATATAATGATGTAATGAATTTTAGTCCTCAGTTCCTCAGGCATGTTTACCAAATCCAATCCATGACATTTACTCATTATGTTCATCATGTAATAATTATACAGAACATCACAGGGACCATTTGTAGTTGGCTTGGTGATTGCATTTTTTTTTGGTTTCAAGATGAGATTGTGGAAGAAAATGTTAATGATATACTTGCAGTCAGTACCAGTTTTTATTTTTGCTGATTGTATGGAATTCCATCTTTATTTATAGAATATATAGTTGGTTTGAAATTGATGATCCTCCAATTATGACCATGTGTGGAATTATCTTTTACTTTGTTGAAAAGAAGGTATTTGTTCTGAATACTGAATTTTCTTGGCAAAAATCTGTTAGTCTGTCTCCTGCTTGGTTTTGTATACCCAATGCCAACTGTTCTTATTATTGCTGGTGTAGTGCTTTAGTGTATAGTTAATTTACCTTTTTTAGGTGTGGGGTCAAACAGATGTTGCAAGTTGGCTTACAACTAATCATGTGGATCACTGAAATGTTGAATGGCTTCTCTTGGAGTTGAGAACATTCTATTGTTTAGTCATGCTTAAAGATAAACTAACATTACTACACTAACTTTACTAACTACATTGACTTTGGCACCCTTTTGGTAAGAAGGACACCTAATCATTTTTTCCTGTGATTTCTACAGTAGAAGATCTGTTATTTGGTTCTTTTGATATGACTTATTTACAGTGGATGACCTTTTTCTGAGATTGTAGCCTCTCAGCAGTATTATTTTTGGTATCATTGCAGTACGCAAGGCTCTTTATGACTCCAATTATGAAGTCTGTGAAGGACTGTTTTCCTAGTCATTCATCAACAATTTGTATTTATTTAGGTAGAATTGGTTAATTTAACAGGTAGACCTTAAAAACAAATACCTTAAAAAGCAAAAATCCAAAATCTCCTACACCTTTGTTTTGCCTTGTTACTTTATTGTACACCTAAAAAAGTGGAAAGTTATTACTTTATAATAGCTTTCCTCAGCCTGATTCCCTTTGGATGTGTTGAATTTCAGCTACAGTGATAGAAGGTCATTATGTTTTGGGATTATGGGAATTGAAATCCAACACATCTAGAAAACAGGAAAACTGCATTAGAAAAGCCAGGGCAATCCGTTGGTGACCTGGGCAAGATAGATGCATTTGTACTTTTCTCAGCTTGATATTGCCACTCCTTCCTTTGAAATGGTGTTATTACATTTAGAAGGAGGGCAAATACAGGTCCTGTTAATATGGACCTGAGCAGTATCAAAAATGGATAAATGTGCTAGGAAAGTCTTATTTGTCTTGTCAGGATTTAAACTTAATTTCATTTGTTTGCTTGATTCATGCTGCTTTCAGTACTAAGACTAATTTTGTTGTTTTGGAAATCTGCCCTCTTGGTGATAGCAAGCTGCCTTGAGGAAAATCCAGGGAAGGACTTAAGCAAGGGTTTAAAATTCTTGAGGTAGCTGTTTTCCCTTCTCTGGAAAACTTAATGATGACATTACAAGGCTGGCTTTGTCATAATCATCATTTTTGAAGAATCAAAATGATCTAGAAAATAAGAATATTATTGCTAATCTCTGAAAATGCTTTATCCTTTAAATAAGCAATCCTGATTATCCTTGATCCATGTATCTATTTAGATTCATGTTTCAATTGTGGGATTGTTCTGACGGCATAGTGTATCCATCCATTCATATTAGACTGATGGGTTTGGGGTTTTTTGCAGAATTGCGGGATAATATATCAGTACATGAATGCTTACCGAATCAGGAAAACTGATGCTCTGCATGACTTGGAAGTGTCCGTGCATGCATCTATAATTAGTTATTTATCTGAAGGAAATATTAATTTGAAGATTAGGACAATTTTGCTTTACTGAATTGGTATTTGTGCTGTGTCAACCACAAGAGTTCCAAAAGGATGTAAAACACTTGGTTATCTAAACTGAGTATTCCACCTTTTTTTTTCTTGACTACTATTTTTTTTCTTTTTGACAAATGATTCATAGCTTCTTAAAGACACACTGGCGAGTTTTCAAGAGAAGAAAGTTGCAGGGCTGCATGTGAAATCTTTGGAAAGTGAATCGATGTAAACTATTATGATTGCAAAATCTTGTTGTGCTGAGCCTTAGGTGACCCAATTTTCAATGGTGTGTGAAGCATAATCATATTTAAACAAGTCATCTTTTTGTAGCCCTATTTCTTCCTCAATTCAGCATGAAAAAAATGCCTTAGAGAGATCTTAATTTCCTTGTACACCAGAATGCCAGTTACCTTGTTTTGAATAAGTGAACCAAGACAGTCCTTTTTTTTTCCCCCCATTTTGTAGCTGGATGCTGACAATTATGAGACTGACCCAGAATTAGCAAAAATTCGTAAGGAGAAGAACTATTCTTGGATGGATATAATAACAATAAGCAGAGATATGCTGCCAAATTATGAAGAGAAGGTAATAACTACAGCTTTGTTTGAGCTTTGGGAGGATTGTAAAGACTGGAATTTACCGCTAGAGTGTGTGCCAGTTTTAAAAGTTTCTACTCTGCTGTGTGAGCAGTGGATTTCCTTTGTTTAAGAAGTATGTTCTGCTTCATATCTTCTGTAAGAAGAATAAGTGAGTGTATAAGTGTAGATATCTTTTATCTGCTTTCTAATTTTTATAACAATGTTCTGGTAACTTAACAGCCAGAGAATTCTGTCATGTGAATTTATTGATAGAATGTACCACTTTTAAATAAATATATATTTTTCTAATGCCTGGTAAAATGACACATGTTTAATTTATACTGCTCCTGTTAAAGTTACTCTCTCAGAATAGTGGTTAACAGATAATGCTGGGGCTAAGCCATAAATACGCTTATTAGGCTTAGAATATTATTGTGGTTTATTTAATAAACAATGGCTAAGCAAAGGAAATGGCATGGAAAAGGAATGTTCAAATGAGTTGGGGACTAAACAAAGTAGTTTTCCTGACATAAGAGTGTGTACAGTGTACCAAGCTTCCAAAGGAAATGGAAATAACAAGCGTGAGATTTTTAGAGTGATAATTCAGGAAGAGAGATTTGTCTTTAATTTTCTTAGGTGGTTGTCAAGGCAATGCATTTGAAGTGCTATGAATATTTTAGTAGATAGCTGGAGAAAATTAAGAATACATACCTGATCTATTACTTGATTCATTTTAGGTATATCATCACTTGTAGTTGGCATTAATTTTTAAAAATTATCCTTAGAAAGACAAAATACTTCTGTCGTTAAGTTTTTTTATTTACTAGATTTAGACATTCTTCTAGCAGTAATAGGATAGATGGTAATAACCTGGCTTCTGAAAAATAGTTAGGCCACTGAAGGATTCATTGTCAGAAACCTGTCAAAAGGAGATAGATACATAGATGCAAAAACAAAATAAATAGATGAAGCTTTGCTTTGGCTACAACCTCTGAAATCTGATCCTTCCTAATGTCCTATCTTCCTAGAGATAGAAGATTTAATTCTGTCACACTTTTATTTATTCTTACTACTGGTATCAGATATCGGACTACGGAATAGAAAATATAGAAATTAATTAGTTCTTCAGCAGAGGGTTGATAAATTTCATGAAAGATGGAGCCTGCCATTTCAAAACTGACATTGCAAAAGGTTATCTGTTAAGTTTAAATACCAGATGTTGCCCATGCTCAGAATTAAAGGGTAAGGATTGTTTTTGTAGTTCCTTTTCTTGGTTTATATTAATACACTTCTTATGGCACTTAAGAGAAAGAAAAAGCCTGAGTAGGAAGGGAGGCAGGCAGGCAGGAAGAAAACAATAGTATTCCTTTGGGATATATCCATAGCCACCGAATCTACTGATTTATTTATAGCAAGAATTCAGCTGTCCCCACATTGGTTGGTGCTCTCTGACTGTGAAAAAAACAATATTCTGGCTAAGAGTTGTGTTTTCAGCACATCTGGAGGAAATCCAGTCAGAGAACACTGCATTTTGAGTGTAGATCTAGTGACTGGGTTTATACAACATATTAACCTTCAACATATTAACAACATAGCCAGTCTGATCTGGTGATTAAGATGCCAGGTTAGAAAGCAAGAAATCATGAGTTCAAGTCCTTCCTTAGCCATGAAAACTAGCTGGTAGATCTTGGGCCAATCACTCACACTCAGCCCAACTCATCATGTCACAGGATTGTTGTTGTGGGGAAAATAGAAGGAGGAAGATGTGTTTGCCTCCTTGAGTTATCTGTAAAAATAATAAAGATGGGATATGTATATATGTGTGTGTGTATGTATGTATATGTATATGTGTGTGTGTGTGTATATATATATATATATGTATGTATGTATGTATATGTATACATATGTATAATATATATATATGTGTGTGTGTGTGTGTGTGTGTGTGTGTATGTATGTATGTATATATAAAAATATATATTATTCAAAAAAGCTGCATTTAACAATGCCATTGTTTAACATAAAATATGAATCAAGCCATTGTGACTTAGTCCACAAGCCATGATTTAAACATATATATATGAACTAGAAGCCAAACAGCAAGATCACAACTCACCAGCTCAAATCCCCCAGCAACTAAGACTAACCGGAGCACAGCCAAGCCCCCACCTGAACAGAACACGCCTCCAACCAATCAGAACACGGCTAACCCCCCAACCAATCAGAACACAGCCACCAGAAGCTGCAC